TTACTAGATGTGCGGTATTCTTGTATATAAGACCACCAACAAATGATGGCAACAATAGGAATTGAATTGCAGACAGAGATAGAGACAGACAATTGAGTCAAGTGCATGAATCGTTCGTTGTGAATTATAGTGTTTGTTTAATTTATAGCGTGACTGTGGAAATTAAGTGTATTGCAAAGTTGTATTGAGAAAGAATAAACTAGTTTTATTTAAGAAAGGACTTGTATCACTAAAATTTCTTCGGAGATAATTTCTACGGAAAATTAGCAAACGAACAGAGATGTAACAAATTGGTGTCAGAGAATGGGAAGAAAAAATTGGAAACGAGAAGTGGCAAATAAAACTACAGCTTAGCAGATTTGATGGCAGCAATACAAGAACAGCAAAAGAAACAAGAAGAACGAGAAAATAAACAAGAAGAAAGATAACAGCAGTTGCAAAAAACCTCCAACAGTGGCATTTCGAACAGCAAAATAAACAATAAGAGAGATTACAGCAGTTGTTGGAGGAAAAATAAAATAAACAAATAGAAAGATAAATAAACAAGAAGAGAGATTACAGCAGTTATTGGAGGAAAAAGAAAAGAAGCAAGAAGAGAGATTACAACAGGTGTTGGAGGAAAAAGAAAAGAAACAAGAGGAGAGATTACAGCAGTGGCAAGGTAACTTGCAAGATAACAGTGGCAGCTCGAACAGCAAAATAAACAAGAGAGATAACAGCAGTGGTTGGAGGAGAAAGAAAATGAACAAGAAGAGAGACTACACCAATGACTGGAGGAGAAAGAAAATAAACAAGAATAAAGTCTCCAACAGTTGAGAGAAAGCCAGAGAACACAAATGGAAAACATTAGTAAATTTCAAAGCGAATTATATGCATTACAAGATGATTTATTGCCTTTTACACAAGGAGGACACATTAACCATCGACTTAATCAGTGCCAGACAATGGCAAGCCCCTTCCAGACCCCACAGCTAAACCCTAATGCAGACATCTTCAGTCCTGTTAGAAGTCACATCTCAGATATGAATGTCAACAATAGGGGTGATCTAGTACGAAGGAAGCCACAGGAATTCGGTGAGAAGCATATAGAGCACATTTTGAGCTTCTGGCAGAGATGAATGGACAGAGGAGCAGAAAACAGTATATCTGGCAACGAGCCTGAAGGGACAACCACAGGAAATACTTGGACAGTTGTCAGCAGATGACAGGAACAACTATAGGTCACTGGTAGTGGCTCTAGAACTCAGGTATGGAACTCAAAATCATTCCAAAGTCTACAGGGCTAGGTTTAGGACTAGAGTCCGTGCTAAAGGGAAGAGCCTGCAAGAGCTGGCACAGGACTTGGAAAGTATGACATACAAGGCCTACCCAACTGCACCACCCAATTTCCTCAAGTTGTTGCTGAGGGATCAGTTTCTAGACGCCTTGGACAGCCCACAACTGAAGATACCAGTGAAGCAAGCACATCCATCTACTATGCAGGATGCAGTGACCAGAACTCTTGAATTTGAGTCCAGCACAGAGGTACCAAGGTTGGTACAGTCATCAGGATTCAAGGACAGAAAAGGGCAGCCTTCAGAGAAGATAATTTAGGGTAGAATAAAAGAACATCCCCAAGGAAGCCCGATGCTTGTGAAAGCAGTGGAAGACCCATCCAGGCCAGCAGATTTGAAAATTGGAAGGTCAGTTGTGGCAGGTCATCAAGTAGTACCTATAACAGAGGCCAATTTCTCTAAATGTGAGCAGACACTTAAGGAAGGAGCATTGTTGGGTGTGTACCAGGAGGTAGAGCCAGTCAATGTTAAAGCAAGAAATACAACTATAAAGAAAGGGCATACACTTACAGAACATTTAACTGACCTCTATAAGAAGAGCATTTGGTATCATCACAGGCTCTTCAGGTAAAAGAGCTTTCG